ATAGGTATATCTTTAATTGATGCTTGGATTAGATTTCGTACTAGAATTGGCACCCAATGGTGAATTACTAACATGGCTTCGTAAGGTAATAGAATCGGTGTAATAAGCAAGCAAGTTTATTAATACAATAGTAATACATAATAGCTGGGTAGTTTTGACGAAACATGTGCCCAATTCTATGGAGCAGAGATTGTTCAAGCTGTAGCCTATCTGCATAGTCAAGGAGTTGTACATCGGTAAGTGTACTTGCATTACTATGGATGATATCAATGTTGAATAAATAACTAACGGAATGATATTATTACTATCATAGTGACTTGAAACCAGAAAAGTAAGTTGTATGATTGCTATAATATAGCACTATTTTACTGTTTACTAATCAGCTTTATGACGATACTCATGCTATAGTATTCTACTTGATGAGCATATGCATATAAAACTAACCGACTTTGGTACTGCCAAGTTATTCGAGCCAGATCACAATCATCTCAATGATCGATCCAATTCATTTGTGGGCACTGCCGAGTACGTGTCTCCCGAGCTACTCACTAATAAGTCGGCAACTAGAAGCTGCGACTGGTGGGCATTCGGCTGTATCATCTACCAGCTGTTAGCGGGTCGTCCTCCATTTAAGGCGGCCAATGAGTATCTTACCTTCCAGAAGATCATTCAACTAGACTACAAATTTCCTTCAGGTTTCCCGACCACTGCTCGTGATCTAGTACAAAAACTACTGGTAAGCTACTAATATAGATATACACATATAGTTTGTTCTTATCTCTGTTATCTAGGTGTTGGATCCAGAACAACGATTAGGATCAGGTCAATCGGGTCTTTACGAAATGCAATCGCATGACTTTTTCGCAAATATCGATTGGGATCAACTTACACAGCAGACACCGCCACGTCTTCTACCGTATCTACCACCTGTTGATCATCATAATGAGGAGGCATTAAGAAGTAATAGTGAAGCGATGTTATTCCAACCAGATCGACACTATCCTGCTACTCCTCAAATTGAACCGGATATGTTACTATTTAGTGAGGCAGAAATACGTCCCTCCCGTGATAGTCAAGAGAGCGACGGTATTCCATGGTCATCTGCCAGTACTCATTATAACAATGGTCATGATGGCCAGCAAGGCGTACTTGTGCCACCACCTCGACTACGCGTCATGAATGATGGTGTTGTACGCCCGATCATGCCGGCTAACAGTACCACATCCTCGATGAGTTCCTCTATCATGAGTGTACTCGATGATCAAATGAGACTACACCATCCCACGCCTAATCGTCGACATGCTGTAGAACACGACACACACGACACGGCAAGTATCACGGATGCTGGATCGTTTATACCACCCGAGATGGAACCATTCTCGCCACGATCCTACAACACTTCATTCTCATCGTTAATCGAGTCGAGACCACCATCACGACCGGTGTCACGACCATCATCGTCACGCGCCATCACTACTTATCCTTTGAGTCAGAGTCCCGGATTATACACTAGTACCAGTGTTGGTGCTGTACCAGTACGTAAAGCAGTACAACACAGTAAGAGTGCATCAATATCGACAAAATCAGTTAGCAATAATCTGGGTGCATCACGTAGTAGTACATCTCTTATAACTCTACCCACTACTACTACTGCTGCCATGGATATAACAACAAAACGTGGTACAAGTAATCATAAGAATAACAACAATGCTAGCAGTACTAGATTGGATAAATCACCATCATCACGTTCCACGGCATATTCTATTAATGTGATGGATAGTCCACTTATGTAAGTATTAACTAGTTAGTTAGTTATTTACTTGTTATTTACTTACATGTTTATGATAGACCACCATTACTTCAAGCGGGAGAACAAGTGATTCGTGCCAGTATTGTTAATAAGCGACGTGGCTTGTTTAGTAAACGACGTCTACTCATTCTAACAGACTATCCACGTCTTATTTATGCCGATGCTCATCATGGTCGTATAAAAGGTTCCGTCTATTTTACAGCTCGTATGTTACCTGAGTTCAAGGATAGTAAGCATTTCTTTATTCATACGGTAAGTCACTCTATCCTATGTAGACATGTATATACTAATGATCTATGATATATAATGATGATAATAGCCAAGTAAAACGCATTATTTCGAGGATACAAGTAAACAAGCCCGTGTATGGGTCGATACAGTGAATGAACTAATCAAAGAACAGTTTGGAGATACCTTATAAATTTACTTGTATTACTATGATCGTAGATCACCATTCTATTACAGAACAACAAGAGAAGCGAAGAGATGCTCGATTCATCATCTTATATATTACTTATCATATTAATAGCAACTATAGTAATAATCATATAACTCATCATAATAATAATAAACAATTATATTCATGCAATTAATGTTTGCCATTGTGCAAGTGCACCAGTCTGTCTAGCAGGTACACGTTCCACTACACCATTAGCGAATAGATCACCTATACTTTGGCGTAGTGCTTGTATCTTCTCTTCTATTTGCGCGTCACTTGGATGATCTGTGTTGTTAGTGGCAGTTGATCCATCTAGTGTATCCACTTGCATATCATCCTCATGAGTATCCATTCTATTTGTTGTTACTGTTGCTGCTGTTGCTATTTGCACTTCATGTTGTGCCATATCAAGTAGAGCCTCCTATCATTGCAATCAGTACTAGTACATTGATCATTGAGTATTTACACTTACCAGCATTGCCGTACGACACATGCCTGCCTCTTGTCGACGCTCGTTCTTCTCATCAACGAGTGCCGGTCCCAATAGTAGACCATACTGTAGTGCATTAGGCAAGAGTAGATGACGCGTTACTTGATGACCTAGTGCGGCCAATCCTTTAATGGCACCGTAATGCGTGGTAAATGGTTTGGCTGGATCCATGAATGCACGTAGCAGTGTACGTGCCACACGTGGCTGTAACGTATGATACTGCTGGCCATAACGCGTACAAATACGCGCACATAATTGAGCAGCTGTGGCGCGTAATGACCAGTGCGGTTCCAATGGCGATTTACCCAATCGACGCGTCACCATACAAGTGAGAATACCCGGCATCAATTGATGTAACTAATAGATCAAAACATGTAAACAATTAGATCAGATGATGAATAGAGTAGTTGTTGTCAATAGCGACTTACATAGGGTTCGATAAATAGATTATCGTTGGATAAAAGGGCATTCAGCGTAGATATACTCGCGGTTAATACATCAAGTTGTTGTAAACTTTGTGTCATCTACATCAAATTAGCAATGATATATATATGGCATGAGATATAGCTTACCTTGTCTAGTACATATTGTATAATGTAGGGTAGTAATTGATGTAGACCTGGATCTTGTGCTAAACTAGTGAGTGCCGCCTCTCTAAGTCGTAAACGATCCATTTCTGTGGTGGGTCGAGCGGTTACCGCTGCATTCTCCACTAACATATCATCATCGGGGAATATGGCGGTCATTACACGTTCATAGTACATGCGCATCTCTCGTGATAGTACGTGTTTGACTGCAGGTTTGAGATCAATTTGTGGTAATGGTGCAGCAGTAGCATTGACTGCTTCACTCTTGACGGTAACCGGTGCTGCTGTTGCTGTTGCTGGTGCTGTTGCTGGTGCTGCTATTGTAGTATCGCCACCATCAGGTTTTGCAACTGTTGCAGTTGCTCCTGCTCCTGCTTCAATTACTTCCATCTTTTCCTCGGTAGGTGGTTTAACTTCCTCCATATTATTACCAGTAGGTTGAACAGCTTCCAGTTCATTAACCGTAGCTGGTTCCAATCGAATACGCTTAGCTAACAATTCCTTTTGTGCTTCACTTGGCGGTGGATTCTGAGGAATGGCCGGTTGTACGCCCTCCACCGCTAACCAATGAGCTACATAGCATACAAGTATCAATCAATTAGTAATAGTAATGCTATGCTATGCTTATACTAATCACGCCAATTACCTGTATATTCAATATCGGCAGGAGCTGGTGGTAGTGGTGCTTTAAGCAACTCTTCAATATCCAACTCATCTTCCTCGGCAAAGAATACGGCTTGAGCGCCTGAACTACTACTGCCCACCTGTACACGACGGAACGTACGTCCTTGCTCGCTACGCTGTGCATACCCATAGATAGGCTATTATCACCGAGTTAGACTAGTGTTTCTTACTCGTATATGATGTACGTTCAGTTACCTCGACGTTCTTAACGCGTAGTGCTCGGTTGATATCCTCGGTCGTCATTTTACTGCGACGTCCATGATTCATAAACTTGTTGGCCTCCTATAAAACACGTATATCCATGCTAAGTACACTACTCGTAATATACGACTAACAAACCTACCTGAATAATCTCGTGAATTCGATATTGTACATCGCGTGCCAACGCTTCAGCAACATCAGGTTTAAGCTGACGAATACCCAATCGTTCTGCCACTTGCTAAATGCACGTTGATTATCAGCTATTGTTGTTGATGAGTACTCAACGATGCTGCCACTATACACGTTACCTTGACCGAATCTGTTGTGTATATGCTCATAGTGACAATAATGAAATAGATTGCAATAAGAAAACAACACAACAACGAGTGACACCCACTGGTCAATTACGGAAACTTTCACTCATTTCTTATGCTTTTTCATTTTACTTACATTGCTCACGTATAGTCAACTAAACTTGTTCGTATATACATATTATATTGCTAAATATGCGTTATTTTACTGTATTTTTATACTGGCGAGTGCATAGATGCTCGTATACCCTTACTTTGATACAAATATAGTGAGTAATCTAACTTTTTTTATGATTCTGCATGTATACTCCATTATTTCATGTCGTTTAACCTGGTATAATACGCGCTACAGGCTATATAATCATATAGTAGCAACAATATATACGCTTAATTAGCGCAAAAAGCGCCAAAGCGATAAAAAGTGAAAATCAGCAAATTAGGTAATCAAAATGTATGAAAGTGCTTCCAAAATAAGCGGGCTTCCGTGGCGCAATCGGCTAGCGCGTCTGACTGTTAATCAGGAGGTTGGTGGTTCGAGCCCACCCGGGAGCGCGTCCTTATTTTTTTGCTTTATGCTAGTAGTATTTTTGCAATCTATATTGTAGATCTATACGATGTGTAAAGCGTTTATTATTGGAGGGTGTATTTGTGCTAAGAAGAGTGTAAAGGTAACGACGACGGTAGTGACGATAAGTATTTTTGCGCAACAAGGGACGAGTAAAAAAACACCAACTCATTCGCATTCACCCATCTGACTTGTTTCTAGCTTCGGCATACTATCGCACTAGCTTTGTTGCAGTATAATAGCCAAGAAGGTTTGGTGGTAACGAGCAGGATTAGTAGCAGTAACCGTAGCAGTGGCGATTATTCAATACTGGTTAGACAATGTCGACGATACCTGATGGAATGCCGAATGGAGAACCCATTTCATCGGGTCAACTTTACAATATCTCGTTGACAAACGAGGAATCAGCATCGGCTACGACGGCAGATACAGCGGGAGTAAACGCTAGAGCCGGTACAAGTGATGAGACAGCAACAGCAGGTGAACTAACCGACAGACAAAAGAGGTATGTGATTAGTATATATATATATATGCTGTATTAGCTAGGAGCATGATTGTTGCTTACTTACTCTGCAACGGATGTAGTCTTGGTCAATTGGCAGTGAATCTAGTTAATTGCGATCTACAAGACACGACAGATGCCACGCTACATGGCACGAAGAATCGAGCTCGATCCTTGCATGTTCAAGCGACGGATGATCTATTCGACGCGAATGATCCAAATATCAAACAGGTACTTGTCTACTAGCTATTACTGTTGCGTTGTTTAATTAACAATCTAATGAATGTACTAGGATATTATTTGTATGATACTGCAGTACCTAAGCAACGAAGGATATCAAGCATCCAAGATGACCCTCTACGATGAGGCTAATGTAAAACGGAATGAACGGGATGAACATCAAGCGGAAATACGAAGATTGAAAAAGGCCATTCTTGGCAAGTAATTAGTTGTTAGCATCATCATCATCACTAGTAATATGCTTATACGTTGTCATTATTATTGTATATACTTGTAGAGGGAGATTGGCCCGAGGTGGATAAACTATGCACTAAACCGTTGATTCGCCATCAGAAAAGTTTTCTCTATGCAGTATATCGTCAGCAATTCCTAGAGTACATTGAGCATCATGAAGTACAGAAGGTAAGTGGCTAATCAAGTGTATACGCTATTATGGTCATTATATTGATATTGATGATGCATATGCTGAATAGGCATTTCTACACTTGTCACGACGAATTAAACCATTGGAGCATTTGCAAACAACACCTGACGAGTTCAAGGATTTGTGCTATTTGTTGACGGCAAAATCCGTGCAAGATGCACCTTCATTCAAGAGTTGGGAAGGTATTGGTCCATCAAGGTAAGCTGTTGTCCCTATAGAGAATAATGACATCATTGCTGAATGTAATGTTTGCATATAAATATATAGAGAACGATTAGTAGAGCAATTCCAGAATATGCTTGATTCAGAACGTACTATACGCGAGAGTAAGTGACTAATAAGATTATGTAGAAATAGAAATAGTAATAGTAATCGTTATTGTAATAGATGCTGTACGTGTACCTGATAATCGTCTAGTTGGTTTACTGCAACAGGCAGTTGCTTATCAAATGGAGCATTCGCGCTATCAAGCAAAGACCATTGTTAAATCGAGCAGTCTACTATCAGACTATTCCAGCTTTGTTATTCCTAATGCAATGTGTAAGACATTCCGTGGACATCGTAACAATGTTAAATGTCTTACGTTTGCCGGAGACAACGACAAGTACATTGTATCTGGATCAAGGTAAATGAAGATACTAGTGTGTCATTTGAAGATGACTATTTAACTTATTTATTTATTGTTTAATTGATAGTGACAATACACTACACTTGTGGCATACGGAAACGAGCGAGTCATTGGGTAGTCTAAACGGACACAGCTCTCGTGTATGGGATGTTAATGCTAATGCCACCGGTCAATATGTGGTTAGTGCATCGAGTGATCGTACAGTACGGGTAAGCAATATATAAATAATAATTTGATGATGTCAACGTACTAACGAGATAGTAGATATGGGATATTGAGCAGAAATCGTGTAAATCCATACTACAAGGACATGATGGCGATGTGTACTCGGCATGCTATCATCCGGGAGATGTAAGTAATTATAGAATGACATGTATTTATTATTATCATTAATAATGGCGATTAGGCACATGTCATTAGCGGTGGCTATGACAAAGTTGTACGTATGCACGATGTTGAAACAGGAAAGCTAGTCAAAACATTTGTGGGACATGAACTGTCGACAACAAGTGTTATATGTAATCCATTGGGTAATCTAGTCATTACAGGGTAAGCAGTTGATGTTACAGCAACAAGAAAGAAGATGGCCACAACTAATGGCTACTACATATCATCTACGAGCAGATCTAAAGATAAAACTATCAAGTTCTGGGATGTGTCATCGGGATTATGTGTTCGTACCATGACATCGCATCTAGGTGAAGTAACCTCGGTAGCCGTCAACAGTAATGGCAATCTTATGCTAAGCTGTTCCAAGGATAACTCGAATCGACTATGGGACATTCGTATGGTAAGTGGCATAAAAGTGGTGCACACCTATCATTGACACTGTCGAATTAGATGAGACCAATTGGTCGATTGAAGGGACATCAGAATACATCGAGGAACTTTATACGAGCATCATTCGCTCATCATTCATTGATTGTCGGTGGTTCAGAGGTATCTACATATATATATATATATACGCGTGTAATGGCTATGCTTAATACAATTGCTAATCAAATCTATATTGATATTGCTTTCCTTCTTCATTAGGATGGTATTGTCTATTTGTGGGATCAAGAGACATGCGAGGTATTGCAACGACTACGCGGACATACCGGCATTGTTTACACTGCCAAATGGTCGCGTGATCAAGGATTATTCGCTACGGCATCTGATGATCGTACATTACGTACCTGGTGGTATGATGATCAGAAATCGTTATATAGCACACTGACAGGCAAATCTATCTCTAATGATTTACTTGCTACGTAATTGGCTATATACACACACATCTACACACATTTATATCTATGTTCATTATACACTGAGGATGATACCACACATTCATAATCTATTATTTCATTGATCGTATAAAATATATAAAACCTATCACATCATCAATACGACGGATGTACGCATGCACAAGTCTACTATTGTGTATTTATCGTGATTACTATGATATTATAAATGATGGTAGAGATGTAAAGTGTACAACCGGGCAAATGGAATAGGTGGTAGTGACGTGCGTGCGTAGAATATACGTGTCTACATCTTCTGTTCTACCTTTTTGATACTACACCAATAGCTAGAATAAATGATTACAGTTAGCCATACTAGTTACTATCAGTCATTACTATTAACTTACCACTGCGTTAATACAGCCATCATTCTCGGGATTGTTGGTCACTTGTGCGTATTTACCCCAGACCACCTTACCACCCGTAGTGACTAGACCCAACTCGCTTACATTCACTTCGATAACACATCCCTTTGTGATGACACCAAGTTGCGTGTACAATGGGCTCTGTGGATTCTTCTTCACACTAATAATCGGTAGATGGAAGGTGGCACCCAGTTCAGGATGCGTGACGTGTGCCTTCTTGTAACGCAACGCCATAGGACGGATGAATCGTTCGTATTTCGGTGGTTTACGCGTGAAACCATCACCGACAAATGTTGCCTTCGTCACCATACGCTTCCATTGTTTGGTGTTCTTCTTGCCGGTCTTGAGCACCTTGAACATCTCATCTTCTGCGATACCGCGTACCTTGGGCAATGGCACATCCCATTTGCCTGCCTTTTCCTTACGCTTCTGCTTCACCATATTCGACAGTACTTTGGCACGTTGCTCGCCATCACGATCAAGTAGATAGGCGGGCACGGCACCTTCAGGCACTGCTTCCTCATTCTTTTGTTTGGCATTCTTTTCTTCGTGCATCTTAATGCTACATGAATCATATTAGTTATGTTTATGTAATAATAGTGCAAGTATGATAGATGTAACTTACGTCTTTTTCATTTGAATCTTCTCCGCATGTCGCTTCTTGTTATGCAACTTGGCGCGTAATCCATGGACCTTTTGAGCAAACTGCGAATTCTTGTGCACTTGGCGTGCCGCTCTCTTGCGCCTAACCAGTTTGTTAGATTCTCCAACATATACCACTGAGTATGTATACATAGAGCAATACTTACACACGCTCCTCATGATCGAGACGGCGACCGTGTCGCTTGATCGACTCTTCGATATATTCGTTCTGTGGCATGCTAACGTTTTAAACGGGACGGTCTACAATCCAACAATGTAATCACGAATGCCACAGAAAAAGAAAAAAAATAAAATGGAAAAAAATGAGGAGACGCACACACACTTGCACAAATATCACCATGAATCGCTGAAATAAAATAATGAATTAGATCATGTGATGGTGACCAGTCCCACAAGGTATTTACAATTAGCGTTTTACTTAGCACTCGTATAGTGAACGCGTAACCGCCGCCGAGCGTGTTCTATGTTCAGCGTTCATGTCTTGGAGAGGCCAATGATGGCGTGTATGTAGTGAAGTCTACCAACTGAGCATGCACGGTCCGCTGGCTTTCACCAATGATATAAGCAATTTTTGGATCCGCTTTAGCGGGTAAATACCTAGTAGAACGAAGGAATACGTAATATTGAGCTATCACCTACGCATATAGTGCTTGTTAATGTCTGATGAATACTTTAGGTAATTGTACTTGTCATTGTTGCTTTTTAAACACACACACACACACACTAGCATGCATCAGTATAATGGCACAATGGCACTACCAGTTTATGATGGCAATGTCGTGACCGAGCACCATTCGCCCGTTCTCTCCAAGTCCAGTTAATCTACACAATGCACAATAAGCACCAATTAGAACAGGTCCATGTGGCACAGCTGCATGATAC